CTGGGAAACCTGGCTTGGCCCCCAGCCAGGCAGGACTCTGCAGCTCCTGTCAAACGGTGTGCTCAGTGCAACTCCCGCACGGCTTCTGATCTGTGTAGGTGGGCTCCTCTTGGTCACTCCAGAGGAGCTGAACCATGCCAAAGGTATTAAAGAAAATGTGCATTTTTATCATCCATAGTTCCTTAGTTTGAAATACGTAGTACTTGAAATATAGGGAGTTTCTGTCTATTGAATAGTATATGTTTGGTGAAGAGCAATGTTGAAAAGTATATTTACAGTGTTTTCTGAAGGAGAAACATTGATCAGTTGAAAAATGGAAGTCTGTCACCAGCTTAAGCTAGGCTGTGGATGCAGGCAGATGAGATAGAGGCTTGACTGGAAAAAAACCAGACAGAATGCAAACTAGCTTTGTAGTGTCTTAGATTTCTCCAGATAGGCCAGTTTCACATGAGGGAGGGGAAAAAAAAAAGAAATTGAAAGAAATAATCTTGAAGCCATCTTTGACACAGGATGGATGGCAGCTCAAACCAAACCAGAAATGATTAAGTTGGTTCTGGAAAGGGATTTATTTTCCCCAGGAGAGTGACTCTGACCAAAGTTAAGCCATCAATAATCCCTGTAATTAGTCTATACCTATTTCATAGTGTAGGTTGAAAAATTATATAGAACGTTCTGAAAATAGCAGGACCGCAGAATGGCTTGAACTCTGTAACGGAGGTCTCAGTCCAGAACAGAAAATTGTTGGAAGTATATTAGCATCATCTTTTGCTCAAATAAAACCATTGCCGTCACATTTCTGTGACTGGCAGATTTCCTCTCTAAAGGTGCTCTCAGTAGAGGGACTATGGAACAGAAAGGATACCTCCATCTTCTAGAAATTTCTTCTTCACCATTTGCAAAATTGCCTGATAAGGAAAAAAGTATTTTTCTTTGAAGATGGCTAATAACTTCATGCTCTCTCAGTGAGGAACATTCCCTCTTGTCCCTGTTTCTGCTTCTAAAGCCACACATTTTCCATTACATCCATGCTCGTATATTGGCATCATTACTGACCTGCAATTCAGTTTAGCTCAACTGCTGAAAATGGTTTGCCACTTACCTGCCATTTCCTCATAAGGTACTGCAGAGCTGCTCCGTAGTAACCACTTCTGTTATATTGTAAATCATGCACAACAATTTCTTTCTCCATTTGTAGTGACACTTTTTATTTGAGGAAGCAGATTAGGAAAATTAAAAAGAAGTTTTACTTGGATTACTTTTTTTCTTTTTTTCTTTTAGAGAATCAGACAAGAGAGGTATTTAAAAAGCCATTAGCACATCAAAGCTGAATGCATTATGACCTAAAATATTCTGGTTTGTGTTCAATAGCTTGCTATTATTTTGTACTATAGGGGATTTCTCTATAGTTAGAATTTAAAAATATGTTATCCATATTTGACTACACCAACAGCCCATTAGCTATTGCTGTTGTAACTACTGATATGTTATTTGTACTATTAAATAAATAATTGATAACAGGTGGCCCAGTAGTGATTCTACTTATGTCAAGTCATGGGGCTTCACTAATGTTCATTTGTTCTTTATAAGTGTTATTAATTACAAAGAATTAAAAATTATTTTTCATTTTTTAAAGATTTTTTCTTTTATAGACTTTACTATTTTACCATCTGTTGGTTTAATTCAATGGGGAAAGCATGAGTGCTCTAGCTGTTTATCTGACAGTTTCTAATAGAGGATCATTATAGTAGCCTATATCCCATATTCTGAAGCTAATACTCCAGCTATTTCTAAAGATCTGTTCTTTAGAGATGCTCTGAATTTTATCCTAAATAAAAACCATAAAGAAAAGCCGTAATTGTTGCTTTTGTTATCACAATTGAACAAACATCCTTTTTAATGAAACAAAAGCCAAAATCTGTTTTCAATATAAGATTTGTTGAAAACTGGAAGGGAGAGTTCTCCTCCTGATGGGAGAAGTGCTTTTTAGGGTAGTGAGATGATTGATGTTCAAGCTTCCTGTTCTCCATGCCGGTCTTTTCAGCGATATAGAGAGTAGCCTGCAGTCTGGTGACGGTCAGACAGGTGGCAAATGATGGCAGTCACAGAAGTCTTTTAACCATGTATTTGGTCTGTAGGTTTCTTCTTTGAGAAGGCAGCCATATATTCTTGAGCAGTATCCCACTGGTGTTAACTGATTTGGAAACCTACTCATATTTCACTACATTTTCTTGTACCTGAGTGGTGACACCCTGACCAGGATTTTGTTCTGGTCCCTGAAACATTTAATGAGCGGCCTGGCGTCTAAAAGTATTAGCTGGAGAGAGGCATTGAAAGAGGATTTGCCAATAGGATTCAGGGATAATCCAGGCTTAACAAAGGCATAAGAATGAAGAGGGACATTGGCAGCTCTCTTTTTACTGATTCAGGAAGATGAGACTGCATTAGTTTAGACTTGCCGTTATTCATTTTCACACTAGAAACTTAAGTACTTTAAAAAGACGCTTATATTCTTCAAAATGTGGCTGCTCAGACCTCTAAGACACAACATGAAATTTTTCCAGTGGATTGATAAATGAAATTTTCAGGTCTCTACTGTAAAGAGTAGAAAATTTTCTTCAGCATCTATACTTAATACCAAGAATGTCTTATGACTCTTTTTTTTTTTTTTTTCTTACAGGAAATTTGAAGATAGTCATGCCTATTAGATGTCTAGAAGATGCAGGTAATTGTTTTATACTGAAAAAAAATATTCCCATTACCTGTGTGTTTTCCTGCACTTTGCTAACGTTTCTTCAAGCCAAATTCAGTTTTTCCACTGTAGGAATGAAAAATGTCCCAGTATCTCTAATACTGCTTTTTCTACCCTTTTCCTTGCTATTGTAAAGTCATGACTGTCTTTATAATTCTCACTGTTTCGTCCAGCAAATGTCCTGTGTTTGGATAACATGGAGGCAGGAAGCCTATATTGTTCTTCAAATTCAAATGCTGTACTTGTCTTTTAAAATCATACCTTTGAGCTTTTCTTCTTTGTAGTAGAACTGTGGAAATGTGTTGCATTTAAGCATAACAAGTGCACATATAGCTGGATGGAAATGTTTCAACGTTGAACGTCAAATAAACAGAGTCATAGCTCATTTCTCTAATACATGTTTTACTTCTAGCAAGACATTCTTATTGAAATTTAATACAGTGATTGGAAGATGGAGATGTGGAAAAGTACCAATAGTGTTGTGTTTGGAATGCTTATTTGATGTCTTTTTTTTCGACTGTTTAGAAATAGTTTAAAAGGGTGATCAACACCTTCTCGTAAAACCAGTTAGATGACCTAAGAAGTACCTCACTTTAGCCATCTTAAAATTTGGTATGTACTCCAAGGTAGTCATCTAAGTTTCCTGCCTAGCCGACAGTGAGAAACAGGCATCTCCATAGTGGAGGGTCATGTGCATAGACATCCCCTATGTCTGAAGCACCCACCATGATATGGAAAGATTTCTTCTCTGGAAGTACTGATCACCTTCCTGTGACTTTAGAGGAAGGGCAGGTGACCAAAGTGCATGTCTGAACTGTAGGTGTGTAATGTTGGGTAAGATAATTCCCACCCACGGTGTTAGGACTCTATTTTCAGCAGTGATTTGCTGAAAGAGCTTTAAAAATAGGTGGTGGAGTTTCTGAGAATCGAGCCTTTAAACTGTCCCCAGAAAGCCTTCCAAAGCTACTGTTTAATTTGGAAAGTGTAGATCTCAGCTTTTATTGAGCAGTGATTATGCTTGTGTGCAATCTTCTGGAGACAGTCTTTACTGTGTCTTCTCACAAAAGGGAGTTTGATGAAATGTAGTTACCTTTGCTTAAGTCCCTCAATACTTTTCATGTAAAGCTCAGTAAAAGTGCAACTGACTGTATCAATGTTATTTAGCGTGGCTGTATTAATTGGTGGGGGGGGCTTCTTTGTTTTTTGATTTTTTCTGTACAGATAGCTGCGTCACCATGGAAGAGATGAAGAGAACTTTGCTCTAGTAGATCACAAATATCTCTGGGTCATTCTGCATCTTAGTATTTAATAACAATGGAAAATGTCCGCATGCTATAACAAGTCTTTGCAAATGTATAATAAACTGATTAGGAAGGTTCCTGCCATGAACAGAACTGTATAATACTCACGTTAGTGTACAGACACAAATCTAATGCCTATAGACTACTGTGTGGAAAGTTCCAAAGAGAAAGAAAAGTCTGTGAACTTGCAACAGCCCTGGAAAAATGGGAGCAACAAAACTTTAAAAAGCACAGCTTTGGACACACTCCATGTGTCTGCACAGCTTTCAAGTGAACTAGCACTTAAGACCTTGTGTAACAAAATGGACTCTGGGGACACAGCTATAGGGCAAAAAGCTACCTCAAGGTCTGGAGAAACTGCTAAAGTACCAAGTAGATGGAGGCAAGAACATTCAGCTGTTATTAAGATGAGCACTTTTGGCAATCAAGAAGTACAGAGACAACCACAAATAGATCACGAGCAAATAGGAAACACAGCATCAGCACAACTTTTTAGTTCTGGGAAACTGGTATCATCGAATGAAGCTGCACAGACAGTCACGGAGAAGCAATACTCACAGCATCGTCCAAGTCCTTACTCATGTCAACATTCACTTTCTTTCCCACAGCATTCATTGCCACAAGGCTTCTTGCACAACATAAAGCCACATCAGAGCTTGGAAGGCCCTCCATGGCAGTTTCCTAGCCACTTGCAATCAGTTGCCTCAGAGGACTTGTTTCCTTTTCATATGCATAGCCATAGTGGAGGTTTCTCCAGGAAGAAGATTTCAAGTTTGAACCCTGCATACAGCCAATATTCGCAGAAATCTTTAGAACAATCGGAAGATGCTCACAAAAAGGAACACAAACCCAAAAAGCCTGGCAAGTACATTTGTCCTTACTGTAATCGGGCTTGTGCCAAACCTAGTGTGCTTAAAAAGCATATTAGGTCTCATACTGGGGAGCGACCATATCCTTGTGTTCCTTGTGGTTTCTCCTTCAAGACAAAGAGCAACCTTTACAAGCACAGGAAGTCACATGCCCATGCAATTAAAGCAGGATTGGTACCTTTCACAGAGTCAGCAGTCTCTAAATTGGACCTAGATGCCAGTTACATTGATGTGGAAGCTGAAATACATTCAGATGGCGAGCAGAGCACGGACACTGATGAGGAGACGCCGCTTCTAGTGGAAGGGTCTGACAAACTGAGCCCCGTTCCGCAGCTCCCCCTGGACATTGCTAGCAGGAGCAGTTTTCACTCCTCCATGGACGAGTCCTTGGTGGGGCCAATGAAAGTGCCCATTTTAATCATCCCTAAAAGTGGAATTCAGTTACCCAGTGAGAGTTCACCATATATTGGCTCTGATATGTTGCAAACCCCATCCTTAAGTACCAAGTCTGATGACTCTCATACAGTTAAACAGCGACTTGCACTAAGACTGTCAGAGAAAAAAGGGCAAGATTCTGAGCAGTCGTTAAACCTCCTGAGCCCACACAGTAAAGGAAGCACTGACTCTGGTTATTTTTCCCGCTCAGAAAGTGCTGAGCAGCAAATTAGCCCACCAAATACTAATGCAAAGTCTTACGAAGAAATCATCTTTGGGAAGTTCTATAGGATTAATCAAAGGACAGCAGTAACGGTAGCCACAGCAAATCAGGAGCACAGTTTAATGGGTAGAAAGGGCAAAGCAGAGCCATTACCTCTTTTAAATAACAGATTAGATATCAAGATGCTTGAGGAACATATTTCTCAGCTTACTCCAGATAAAGAAGAACTCATTGACCCTAGTAGTTTGAGTGCTATTAAATCTACACAAGTTTATCCAGGCAGCAATACAGAATCTAGACAATCCCAGACCACCACATCATCCATCAAAAGTGAATCCAGCTTGTACCAAGTCAGTCAGCAGGGTGACGTGCCCATCCTTCTAGAGCCTCCAGTAGATTCCTCTCCTCTTATTAGAAGTAACTCCATGCCAACCTCTTCTGCAAACAGCCTAAGTGTTCCCCTATCTCTGAGAGGAAGCCATTCGTTTGATGAGAAGATGACTGGCTCAGATGATGTATTTTACCCTGGGACAGTGGGAATATCCCACCAAAGGATGTTGAGAAGACAGGCTGCCTTTGAACTGCCCTCTGTGCAGGAGGGGCACTCAGATTCAGACTATCATGGAAGAACAGGGAAAAATATCATTATTGCTTCCAGCAGACAGACAGCAGGTGACAAAGGACCATCCTTAAAAGAGAAGAAAGGAGACAAGACCTTTTATGACTATGATGCCAGTGGAAAGCACTACAGAAAGTGGGAAGAATTTGAAGCTCAGAAGCAGAACTACAGGGACTCACCATCCTTATGTGGGATGAACAAGGTGGGGGAGTACTTTGTTGATCCACTCGGACAATCTCAGGCGGTGCCATCCATGCTTGGCACAACTTTTGAAAACAGAAAGCGCAGGAAAGAGGAGAGTGTTGGAGATGAGGAAGACAGTCCCATGCTTTGCAGCAGTACGACTGGCACTAGTGGGGGAATTCAGCCTTTGGACTTTGATCCCAAATCCCAAATCCAGGAAGTGCCAAGGAGCGGATTTGCCCTTCAAGGCCTGGACAATGCTGCCCATTGCCATGCGGAGCGTTTTGAAATCTGCAGGCCTTACTTGCAGTCTGGAAGCCCGGCAGCTTCTCTGGAAGACTCATCCTTAACTGCAGAGCAAGAAAAGACTGCAGAATCACTGGCTAGAAAGCCCCCTGGAAATGTCATCTCTGTCATTCAGCACACAAATTCACTGAGCAGACCAAACTCATTTGAAAGGTCTGAGTCTACAGAACATATTGCATGCCAGCAGGAAAAGATCTATTCACCACCTGAAACTTGCGAGAGTGAGATTTGTGAGTCCCCAATGAGCCCAGACCGAGCTACACAAACGGAAAATGCTGACACCAGTAAGCCATCTCCATCCCAGCAGCCTCAGCCGTACCATATGCAGCCCAGGTTGGTTCGCCAGCACAACATACAGGTCCCTGAAATTCGTGTCACGGAGGAGCCAGATAAACCTGAGAAAGATAAAGAAGTGCAGAGTAAAGAGCAGGAAAGATCCACTGAAGAATTCCAATGGCCCCAAAGAAGTGAAACCCTTTCTCAACTTCCAGCTGAAAAGCTACCACCCAAAAAGAAGCGTTTACGACTGGCAGACATGGAGCACTCCTCTGGAGAATCCAGCTTTGAGTCCACAGGTACAAGCCTCTCTCGCAGCCCTAGTCAAGAAAGTAATTTGTCCCACAGTTCGAGTTTTTCAATGTCCTTTGAAAGAGAAGAGAATATGAAGTTCATCACACCTCCCAAACAAGATGAGTTTGGAAAACAGTCTGAGTTTCTAACAGTTCCAGCTGGTGCTTACTCACTTTCCGTCCCTGGGCATCACCATCAAAGGGAAATGAGACGCTGCTCATCTGAACAGATGCCCTGTCCTCATGCTGCTGAAATCCCAGAGATCCGAAGTAAATCCTTTGATTATGGGAACCTGTCTCATGCCTCTTCAGCTGGTACACCTACTACGGCACTGTCTCCATCCCGAGAAAGGAAGAAATGCTTCTTGGTTCGCCAGGCTTCCTTCAGTGGTTTTCCAGAGATTGCCCAGACTGATCAGAGCACAGAACAAAGTATAAAGCAGGAGCAGATGGAACATGCACAGGCTGGTCTTCGCTCCTCCCAGCTTGCCTGGCATCACTCCCCTTCCTCTGTACTTCAGCCCATTCAGGTAGATGACTCCGGAAAACAGGCTATTGGCTCTTGCGCTCAGCTTAGTAGTAGCTCATCCCACCTTGCCCAGCAACAGGCTCTTCTTGCAGACAGCCCGGAACTGTTAAGGACTCCCTTGATCCAACAAGCACCTTATATTCCTAACAAACATCCATCAGAGCAGCAGCAGCTATTTGCACATCAGGAAAAAGTCCCATTTCCCCCTATTCATAGCACCTTGTTTCAGTTCCCCTATCCAGCTGTCTGCATGGTTCACTTACCGCCATCTCAGCAGCCTGTCTTGTGGCAGTCATGCACAGAACCTCTACACTTCCAGCATCACTTTGTACAACAGCTGCAGAAGTCTTATGTCAAACAGCCTTTCCAGACAGACGTTCCTCCAAGTTATCACCTGGAACATGCACCAGAGCTTATTGGAAAGAAACCAGCTGATTATGTGCATGCTAAAGAGCAAGCATACCAGCATTACTCAGGAACATCTGGGCAGTATTCAAAAAATACTCTGGCTACCTACCAGTCAGACCATAGCATTAAACCAACAGATACCTCCTCTGAGCAGCATCTTCAGACAGATTTTGACTCCTCAAGTGATGGATCTGTACAGTCTTTGCCAGGAACAGTTGTTCCCGTCAGGATTCAAACCCATGTGCCATCTTATGGTAGCGTCATGTACACAAGCATTTCCCAGATCCTTGGACAGAGCAACAGTCCTGCAATTGTAATTTGTAAAGTTGATGAGACTGTTTCTCAAAGAACATTGGCAACTAATGCAGCCATGCAAGGAATTGGATTTAACATAGCTCAGATGCTGGGTCAGCATGGAGGGCTAGAAAAATATCCTTTGTGGAAAGTGCCGCAGACACTACCACTCGGACTGGAGCCACCAATTCCCCTGTGTTTGCCTTCCAGTTCTGACATGGCTTCTACCTTGGGAGGAAGCAAACGAATGCTTTCACCTGCCAGCAGCTTGGAGCTGTTCATGGAGACCAAGCAGCAGAAACGAGTCAAAGAAGAAAAAATGTATGGGCAGATAGTTGAGGAGCTAAGTGCAGTTGAGTTAACTAACTCAGATATAAAGAAAGATTTTCCAAGAATGCAGAAGCCTCAACTAGTAAGGCAGAGCTGTGCTACTGAGCCAAAAGAAAGTCTGCCATCCATGTCATCCTCTTCACCACTGTCGTCCTCATCATCTCAAGATTTCCCACCTGTCAGCATGCCAACAGCAGATGCTTTCCCACTGAGCAGGGAGAAACTTTCCAGTTTTGATTCCACATCACCAGGGCAGAAGTCCAGTGGCCCTTCTGAAGGACGAGATTCACCAGAAGAACTGGATGTGGACGAAACAGCCTCAGATATGAGCATGAGTCCACAGAGATCTTCATTGCCACCAGGAGAAACCCAGACAGAAGACCAACTGAAACATCAAAAATTGCCTCTTGGGATGTTAGTCCAGATGTCATCCAATACCAGTGGGAAGGTCACAGGCTCAACCATTCTCCTGACAGACGTAGCAGATTTTCAGCAGATCCTTCAGTTCCCAAGTCTGCGCACTACTACTACTGTGAGCTGGTGTTTCTTAAACTATACAAAACCCAGTTACATTCAGCAACCAACCCTCAAATCTTCTGTTTATGCTTCATGGTGTATAAGTTCATGTAACCCAAACCCATCTGGGCTAAGTACAAAGACCACTTTAGCACTTTTAAGGTCCAAGCAAAAAAACACCACGGAAATCTACACTCTGGCTGCTATGCATAGACCTGGAGCTGGTAAACTGACATCATCAAGTGCATGGAAGCAGTTTGCTCAGGTAAATAAGAGGTTTTAATAAAATTAAATTTGTATATCTTTATTTGAGAAAATATTAGTAAACTATGAAATGTAAGTTAATGTTGGTTTTTTTTTTTAAAAAAAAAAAAAAAGATTCGCCATTGGGAAATCGGACATTGCCATCTTCCCATGACAACTTTTGAGCCTCAATTTGCCTTTCAGCAAGCTCTGCTACTTCTGCTATCTCTGTCTCCATTTTTAAAATCGGATGTAAAAAGTCAGGCTTTTAAAGCCCTCCCTTCATGTGTGCCAGAACAAGATCCATTATCTCCTTCTATTTGGGCCTTTCTTTTTGCCGTGTATCAAACAGTATCAGACACAAGCATCCACGTGCATTTTTAAGTAAAGATTAAGTTAAAATTGAGTAAGGATCTTCAGATATGTCTAATGTCTTTTACACACTGACTTCCTCATGGACTAAGCATTAGATAATGGTGCCAGGGAAAATTCTGTAATGGCAATAAATTACCTTCTAAGGCTTTTCCATCTTTATTTTCCATTATTTTTTTCTGAGGAAAGATACAATACTGTCTTTTCTGTCAAGACTCTTGTAAAAATTTGTCCATGCTGCCCCCTCTCTTATTCTCTGTCAAATTAAATGGGACAAATTAATTCATCTTATAGAGTTGCACCAAAATGAGAGTTGGCTTTGACCTGGAATGTTAAAAGTAATTGAAATGAAGTGTGCGTTTATTGTGTGCTCCAGCAGTAACACCCTTCCTTGACTTTGTTCTACAGATGAAACACGAGCCATTCTTCTTGTTTGGCAGCAAGCTTGAAAAGAAAGTAGTGGGGAATATTATAAAAGAAAGAGTAAAAGGAGACATTCATGGAGATAAAGACATTACATCCAAACAAACTGAGCCGATACGAATTAAAATCTTTGAAGGAGGGTAAGAAAATGCAACTGAGAATTTCAAGCTCAGCCTGTCATTTTAAAGAGATTTGAAAATTAATATGAATTAATTAGGGTGTGAACAGTCTCCTGTGTTCCTGGCATGTCTTGTAGCTTCCAAGTCTCTTCTGTTTTTGTGTATATGTCAGTCTTAAAAACGACAGCGTACCTGTATACTTACTCTTGGCTCTACTTTGCTATTAGGACAATTATATTTTCTGCCTGAGAGCACTCACTCGAAATTGTTACTTTCATTCCTTAGGTCATAAAGAAATGGATAAGTGGTTAACTTTTTGGTATTTTCTATACCATTTCTTTGTATTTAATGGCTTCCATGAGGCTATCTTTCTATTTTTAGATTCTTGTGTACCTCCACTCACTTGAATGGGTTAGCTAGGCATGCTTGCTCTTATTCTTGTAATTTTTTATTATTTACTGAAGTTTAATTTTGGTGATAAAATGTAAGATGACAATGAAATCTATGGTACCTAAGCCTAATCCATAGATCTGTCATGTATATTTGGTAAAATAATATTTAATTTTACCATGGCCATCTATCACTCAAGTGATAAACGAAACAAATAACAGAGGGAAGAAGGAGACCTGAAAGCCCGTTAACATTGTTTTGAGGCTTATGAAGCTTGTTATAAAAAGCAAATGAAATGGACACTTGTTTGCCTCTGCAGTATACTCTAAAATGGAAGATATTGTTTAATTTCTTTTACAAAATTCTGACATGATGCAATTAATTTGCCAGTTGTTAGTAGTGAGTAGTCAGGTGGCTGAACAGATGTGTTTCTCAGTCTTACCAAACTCAGATGGCCTCACAGCATTGTTTTATTGGGGTAACTAAATAGGACAGGATGGAGATGTGATAAATTTGTGCATCCATTTCCTTCTTCTGTCAGTTTGTACCCTTTAAAATCTCAGTTGTCGTTCATTAACATTGTGTGTTTTGGCTCCACTTGCATAGTCTCCATGAAATGAACATTGGCATTTCTCTGTAGTCTGCAGCCCTGAAGGAGTATAGCCTACATCTTGCCTGAAAGATTGAAAATGTTATTTTGGAGATTGTTATAGGTATGCTGGCCCAGACACCCTGATCCTGGCTGTTCTCTATAGTTGTACATTGTCCTAGTACCCAAGCCAGTAGGCTGGCTATGCAAGAGTGACCCAAATTCAGGGGTGAGCCTAAGTTTACAAGTTGCTTCAACTCACAACCACTTTGAGGTATCAAATTTGCTTGCTTCCCACTATGTATAATTTCTGAATTTGGATCACCCAGCTGGAGATAGTCTGCACTGATGTAAGCTGTGTGATGAGAGGTCAGAAGAGTGAAAGTGTGTTAAGGAGGAGGATTCAGATCAGTGTGAGTGCAACAGATCACTCTACAAAATGCCTCTACCTTCTAATACCTTGTTTAAGAAACTTTGTACCTTACTTACACCACCTTAAGTTTCCCTGTGCACTAATAAAGTCCATGAAACTGTTTGTGTAAAGTCATATAATTCACATGTCACCTAGAAATGTCTCCTAGTAATACTTGGCTATGTTTAGATATCCTTTGAGTAAAACAAAACTTAAGAAACCTTGATGTGCACAGTAATTTCTGGAGTGGGTGGGACAAATAATCTGTGCAATAAACTGGGACTTCCCCAATGGCAGCATATAACCTGCAAAGCTGCAGTGAATGAAATGATGTAGTGTTAATGAGTCCATTCTTTTCTTATGCATCATAATTTTATTGTACATTTTATAGGCATTGTTGTGGAAGGGTAGATTCATTATTTTCATTAGTTTGGCTAGTTTTTAAAAGGATCTAATATTCTTTAGGTATTATAACCACATCTTTAATTGTTTTCTGTCCTGACTATTGAATTTGTCCTCCTCTTCAGGTTTTTGTTTCTGACTTCTGAAAGCTAGTTTTTAACATGGGTGGGTTTCCATGCTTGCTTGTTCTTGGCTGTTTGTGAAGGTGTTCTGTTCTCTGTTCTGCTCTACTCTCATCAAGCTCATTTCATCGCAGCACACACAAGCAGTGCACTGAACTATGCAGCAAATGTCTGTCATCTCTGTTTCATGTTTTCTCCCCTGGACAGACAAGCATGTGTGGTGATACCATGTTTCAGCAGGGTATTTTCATTTCGTTTTTCCTTTGTCTTGGGGAGTGGGTTTGCTTAGGCGTCTTGATTGCTTTTGTTTTGTAAGGCAATTCAGAATCCATAGCTGAGGAAGATCTGCAGTTGTTTGCCTTCAGTTTGTGTGAAAGCCTGTCTGCTAGGCAGGGAATTGCTGTTGCGCTGCTGTCTTGTGCCGGGGAGCAGAGCACTCATATGGCAGGTGGGCAAAAAGCAAATAGATGGGGCTGGGGATGAGTGAGAAGCTGAAGGAACAGAATGAACAGACTTGAGGCAAAAGTAGATGTCACAGCACATCACCACCTTGCTGTACTAAGGCCCATCAAGAGCAGTTTGTAAGCATCGCAGCAGAGGGGGTTTTGAAGGAAGAAGCTAACAACCATATTATTACCTCTGGCAGGTGGCTTGATTCATATGAAATTATCTGAATCACAAAATCTGCTTTCCATCATCTGTGACTGCAAAACCCTGATGGGATATGAAGCAGTGTTCCCCAAAGAAAAGCAGCAATTTGAAGTTCAGTGCTTGCTGCAGTACAGTTGGTTAGTTACTAATGGCATGAAGTGAAAAGAAAGGAGGGACAAGGCAAACGTGCCTGCTCATCTGACACCTGGCTTAATGACATTATCAGCTTCCAGCAAGAGTTCACAGTTTGCTTATGTTTGCTCTTTCATATCTATCAGTAATAGACTAACTGAAAATCCCCAATAAAATAACATTTTGGCTAGAAATTGCAGAACTCTGAGGCTTGTTAATGCTTTTTAACACCAGAGTCCCATTAAAATCAAGCTCAGAGCAGCAGTGACCACAGTTCTTATATGAAAGTTATGTAGTGGGAAGGGGGAAATCACTGAAAGCTTTGAGAGAGGCATGAGCTAATAGTAAGATCTAACATTCCTTGGGGCTAGAAAGATAATCACCATAGACTCGGTCTTCTGGTGTTTCAGTCTTTGGACCAGGCGTTCTTTAAACGTCAAATTTGTGTGTGTCATTTCTCTAACAGTCATTGTCATAGTCAAGCGTACTTCACCGTGACTCAAGGTCAGTTATGGCCAAGAACCATCCATATGAATGATGAAGAGACAGATCTTGTCCCATTGTCTTTGTGCCCAATGGGATCTGACAGGTGACAGAAGCTGGTGGAATGAGGTCAGGCAGAGGAACAGCAGAGATGGAGCAACAGAAAAGCACATGTTATAACACAGCCTTTATCTTACTGGTATCAATCAGGGGTGATATGGTAGACTCCATCCCAGCAAAATGAGACGGTAGGGAGAGATGAAAAGAAGATAAAATGTCAGTCTGGACATTTTTTCTGTCTGTGGGAGAAAGCCTGGAGGCTGTTGGTGAAGCAAGTGGATAGAGACATGACTAGGAGTCACTGGCATGTGTGTATGAAGGAGGATCTAGGAAACGGGGCAGACAGAAAAGCAGAATCCCAGAAACATCATACAAAAAAACCTGCTAGAGCGATGGGTAAATAATAAATGGCATTAGACTATGCTAGTTTTGCCCATGGTGCCAGGGACAGTGAAGGAAAAGGGAGAGGGCCAACTTTATTGGAAAGGAGATGAAAAAACCTGAATTTAGACATCCACATATGAAAGAGGAGCTGATATGAAGCAAGATGGACATGAGAACAGGACAGCATTTTATGTATTTCGAAGATACTAGCTTCAGTATTTGTATTGCCAGTGATATAGCTGAACATATGGAAGAAGAGTTCATCTAAGAAAAGCACACTTGAAAAATGTTTCACCTCTGTAACCCAAAAATTTCTACTTGCTTCTTGTAGAGTATCATCACATTAACAGAATCTTTCACACAGTCCCGTATTTATTTAAAGCACTGACTGTCAGTACCACAATATTTTGTGGGCTGCGCATCCACAGGGTGGCTGAACATACTTTGTGCTGCTTAGGGAGAGGGCGATGGAGGACAGAGGGCAGAAAAAATATTATTTCTCAGTTCTCATAGTTTCTGGATTTACTTTGGGTGAATGAGGATTAAATTCTCCCACTAGGGAATGCCCAGCACTCTTCAAACCTCAGAACAGCCTGAGCAGATCCCCCTGGGCCCTTTTAGATTTCAGTATTAACAATTTATCATGATAGTAAAGGCAATGTACAGCTTTACATAGATTTGCATATCTTATTTTTATCTAACTACACACTATGTAATCAGCAAAAATAGCATGGAATGCTTATGCCTGTGCTAAGAAAATTTCCTTTAACAGCTTTCTGCTAAGTATGCAGCTTGGAAGTTTCCCATTTTATTTCTAAAGCAGCATGTACCTGAGTGAACTCAACTTGGTGTCTTTTTGGGAGGGATCCATCTTTGGGAATTTCAGGCATCTGTAGTGTAAATGCATACATCCTTGCTAGTCATCTGCATTCACTTTATGCTTAGTCGGGAGAAACAGGCATTTCCAGGGTGTGATTTATCTGATCCCAAGGGATAAATACACTAAAACAGTTAAAAGTGAACCGTTCTGCAAAATGATGATATTTTCTGTGGTGGTAGATGCCTGCATTGTACAAGACTACAGTTAACTGAAATAAATCCAACCTGCAGACTGGTATATGGAGTTGTGCTGTGTCTATAGGAATGGTAGCTAATCTGTTTCCTGACAAGGTGTTTATACTGTTCTCATACTCTAACTCTTTGGTCTCATATTGTTAAAACACATTGGGACCAGTTCATTCCCTGAAAAGCAAATACTTTGTGAGTTCCAGACTGAAAATTCAGTAGTTTCTATGGACTTATGTGGATTTGTTGTAATAAGATATATACAGGATCAGGATCAGATGCATAGAGGTGATGTTTGTGCATATATGTGACCTAGAACCTGTATGATTTAAAAACTTGCTCTCTTCCAACAGGTATAAATCAAATGAGGATTATGTCTATGTCAGAGGTCGTGGCCGAGGAAAGTACATTTGTGAAGAATGTGGAATTCGCTGCAAAAAGCCAAGCATGCTCAAAAAACATATCCGCACTCATACTGATGTCCGGCCTTACGTATGCAAGTTGTGCAATTTTGCCTTCAAAACTAAAGGTACTTGGCCGTTTTTGCTAAACTCTTGCCACTTCCTACACAAATCTTGAGCTGTTTTGCTGTGTGGGATCCAAGTACCCTTTGCAATCAAGGAGAGATTTTTCTTCAGAATAAAATTATTGTGTTTATGTGTACAGGACTTCACAAGTGAGGCTTTTCTCTTCTGTTTAATTGATCCAGGGATTTTGTGAGACTCTGAGACTCCTTCAATAGCTTCATTAAGAGCTATAGGCTCTTGGCTGGTCCATCTGTCTGCTGAGCAAATGTAGTAGCATAAGAACTGCCCTTACAATTAATACTTTCTGCCAAAATTGTTACATGGTGCAAATTTTAATTGCAGCAACACTTAAATGCTACCAGGAGAGTACACTTGTTATGACATAATGTAGAGGCAGAGCATCAGCTGCTGAGGAAAACATGCCTTCATGGGCTTTACAGTGGGTCAGTTTCAAGTTTATAAATAATGTATGTCTCCCAGATGGGCCACTCCATCCACTGTGGCATTAATTATGAATAGAGAACTGATAGCTTGTGCTCACATGTATTTGTCAGCACAGAGAAAAGCTTCCATTTGTCACCCTGAGGCCACAGATAATGATATTCTTTGGAATTCGGATTTGCCTTGCAACTATCTCCTTAAAAAAAATAATAGCCTTTTCTTTCTTAGCATTTCTTTGTAGCACAGCCCAAATGAGCCTTACATTCTCAGTTTCTTAGCTTCCCTTTGGCAGACAAGGGAAATGGATTCTGGTCTCAGTGCAGTGAACTCACTTGAAGGGGGAGAGAAGAAGCTGAAGGAAATTTGTCCCAAGATCCCAGTGCAGCTTCATGGCTGTTTTGAGGATTGAGAATTGTAATAGTTTCCATGACTCTGGCACTTCTTCCTCTGCCAAAGATGGGAATAGCTGATGGATGGTAGTAGAACCATCAACCTAATTTAAGTTGAGAACTTTCATGGGGGTGTAGAGACAAAGACAAGGAGCTGCTCATTTGTAGTCCCAGTAGACCATCTGATGAGCTGTTCTTGGATCATCGTTTACATCTTACATTGCTGGAGGAATGGGTCTTCGGGAGGGACTTGAAGGGGAATTGTGGTTTTACAGCTGTGTTCAGAGAGGAAGTTCCAGGCAGAAGAGATGACATGGAAAGAAATGCAAAATTGCTCGCTGAGGCTGGCATTTCTGTCAGAGAAGAAGAAACAGGGAGAAGGTGGTATGCTATTGCACAAGAAGGGCACGAGTAGGAAGAAACTAAGTTAGCCTTCAAAGTAGAAGTGTTTAACTGCTGTATTACTGCTTATGAGCAGTCGTCAGCCTTGTAACTATTGTTACTGTTTTGAGAACAGTAGGGGACAGACCTTCAGAGGTGCTTAGGTTTTCAGTGTACACCCTGAGCGTTTAGCCTTCCAGAGGCATCAGGAAGTGCACAAGCACAATAGGAAACTCTCACTGAGAAGGGAATTATTTGAACTAGCCGGGACTGAAAGTCAGAGAAGATCCTGGCTTGTGAGCTTCTAAGCACACCTCCACTATCCAACAGAGTGGTGCATTGTTTCTGCTCCTAGGTTGCATGTGCCCCACACACCATCTGGAGATGCTGGTTGGGGTCCCAAAAGCAGCATAGGTGCATTCACAGAGTGCTTTCCTTGAGCTAAGAAGCACTGGGTCTTGTGCAATGCTTTCCCCGTTGGGTGTTGCAAATGTGACTGAAGTGGCTAATGGATTAGAGCAATATTCTCATTTCTCCAGCTTGTGCTTTGTGCTCAAGATTCTTTGCCATGAAATGACTCTTGGGGCCAGTCTCAACTGAGTTTTCTTATCTGTGAAAAAACAGACCAAGACAGGCACTCCAGAAAGTCAATAGTCTAGTGGTAGATTGCTCCCTCAGGGGACTGGGAGATCTGATTTCAAATCCCTGCTGTGTCTGGTTCAGATCCGTACTCCAAAACAGTGAGCTGAACCTGGATTTCCCACATCCCAGGTCAATGCTGTAAGTACAGCTCCTCTCAGTTCAGAGATTGCAGCTAGACAGTAAACTTGCATAGAGAAGTCTCCCATAAATGTCTTTTTTGTGGGGTACTTTTGCTTCAAAATGCTTCAAACACTGAACATTTGGAACCTATATGTAAAGTAAACAGAGAGTGCTTTGAGCTTGAAAATACCACTGTGAAACTAAGAGTTTGAGCCCTGAAAGGCTGGCGTGCATTGGACTTACTTCAATGTCTGGGCAGTCTGTACATATCATGAACACTGAGCCTAGGTATAGATAACATCCAAAAGTGATTTTTTTAGCTTGCTGAGGTGCCTAAATGTCATGTGGAAAATTTGAGAGAGACCTATATACCTTTCAGCCCCTGAGTTTAGGTTTATTTGAAAAATTTTTAATTTTTTGGAAGATATAAAAACCCTCTGTCATTAAAACAGGCTTTGAGGGCAGTGGGCTGGATGAGTCAGCTCTGTCTGTTGTGGTTTTATTTAAAGTAAGAACTCCCATTTGCAGGATAACAGAGTTAAGATACACCAAAACCTGACTTGCAGAGTGATCTTTGCTGTTGTCCATTAATTAGATTAATCTCTGATCCATAGGAAATCTGACAAAACATATGAAGTCTAAAGCACACATGAAAAAATGCCTGGAGCTTGGAGTATCAATGACATCTGTAGATGATGCTGAAAATGAAGAAGCAGGTATGTCAGAATGATTTAATTTATTTGGAATGGCCTCTGGAGTATGCAAATGAGTTGTTGCACTTCAGCACAGTGGCTGGCATGGGAAAATTTGAGTATTTGAGGCACTTTTTAATTAAGAGGCATCTTTTTAATAAACAGGAAGTATAAAAAATAAATCCATTTGTCTAAGTTACATTTTTTATTAAGATACATGAGGAGGAGGTAGAAATAAAAGTATGACCTGTTGTCATCTGTCTCATACAAAGTTCCCAATCTTTTCAATTTAGATGTGAGAGATGGTGACATTTAGCAAAGTTGCAAGATGCGGTAGGGTGAATTTGCTTTTTATACTTCCTTTCAAGTACAGCGTTTGAAGGTATTATTATGAAAAATTATGGTTTGAGACTATGAAGAATGGCTTTATGCAGCCACCCTAGACGAAGAGCATCCAGCGATGGCAATGGATGTGCTGGGTGAGGAATGAATGTGGTGGAAGGCGTAAGAGCTGGGGTGTGTGCTTACCATTTTGACTTGCTGTGTCTGTTTCAGAAAACATGGAGGACATGCAGCAGGAGGCAGAGAAGAGTAGCAACCTGGCAGGCCTGTCAGCAGAGCACCAGTTTTCTGATGCAGAGGAGTCAGATGGCGAGGATGGTGACGACAATGACGATGACGATGAAGATGAGGATGATTTTGATGATACTCAGGGAGACTCGACACCAAAAACCAGATCAAGAAGCACCAGCCCACAGCCCCCTCGGTTCTCCTCCCTGTCGGTGAACTCTGCTGGGGCGTCGCAGGGGGCTTCTCCCGAGGGCTCCCTTTCTGTGGGACACTCCTCCCTCATCAGTTACTTGGTTACCTTACCTAGCATTCAGGTTACTCAGCTTATAACACCAAGCGACTCCTGTGAAGACTCACAGATGACAGAATATCAGAGGTTTTTCCAGAGTAAGAGTACCGATTCAGAGCCCGATAAAGACAGGTTGGACATACCTAGCTGCATGGATGAGGATTACATGCTTTCGTTAGACCCCAGTTCATCTCCGAGGGACTTCTCACCTTCCAGTCGACAGTCGTCACCCGGCTACGATTCTTCACCCTACAGAGATAACTCACCAAAGAGGTATTTAATGCCAAAAGGGGATTTGTCACCCAGAAGGCATCTGTCACCCCGAAGAGATATTTCACCCATGAGGCACCTTTCCCCGCGGAAGGAGGCTGTGCTGAGGAGAGAGTTATCACCAAGACGGGACATGTCACCAAGACGTCATCTATCGCCAAGGAGACCAATGTCACCAGGGAAAGATGCGTCTGTTCGAAGAGATTTGTCTCCTAGGCGAGAGAGGAGATACATGGCCTCCATTAGAGCGGCATCTCCCCGGAGGGGCTTATACCATAATCCAGCATTGTCCATGGGTCAATATTTACAGTCTGAATCTATTCCAGTAGGTCATTCAGTAAGTATGAAAGAATATTTTCACTCCTGTTGTCAAAAACAGTATTCTTACCTAATTTGTGCATAGCATTTTTAAAAACTTTGCAGCTCTGTAGAAGAAGGCATAAGCTTTGAGCCTTGGCAGGAAGTCCTGGAACAAATGCAAGATATTTGGAATAGATGGGGACCAAGTTGGGATGTTGATTCAGTTATATGAAATAGAGTCAGCCCAAAGGGTCAAATCTTCACTTGTTATAAGCCTGAGTAGCTCCATTAACTTCAATGAAATTAGGCTGGCTTACATTAACTGCCCCCATCTTTATTATATTTATTATATGTATGTATATATATTGTATTATGTTATATTATATTATGTTATTTTAAAATGGCCCAGGAAGCTTACATGGCATGTGGGGTTTATTTCTGCACTGTAAAACCTTTTACCTCCCAGACTGTCAGATGGGATCGAGCCCAGATCAAGGCTTAAGGCCCTGATACTGCAGTATGGTGCCCATCACTGAAATATTGTTTAATGGAATAAAAATGCTAAAATAAATGGAAGCTCTCAGAAAAGCAGGGTGCCCGTTGAAATCAGGATCTGTGGCTGGAGTTTAAAGGATATTATCGTGTGACAGGAGCAGGCAGCTGTCTGCATCGCAGAAAGCACCATCAGAACTGTCTGTTTCGGCAGGGATGCAACCGTCTGGGTGGAAATGGAAATATTCAAAACTTGCACAGCTGCTGTCTATGCTGTTCCCTTTTGGTAAATCAGCTCTCAGAAACTGCCAGCTTGGCACTTTTGGCCGGCCTTAGCATTCACGAAGCACTGTCTCCACAAATAAATTTGGTCTTCAGAGTTAAGGAACAGCCTCACTATGTATGCATGTATTTATTTATTTAGTACGCTTCCCTCTCCACATTTGGTGTTGCTGCTGTCCTCTCACTGCCTGCCTTGTCAGCCCATATGCATGGGTTCAACCTGGGCAAGCTGTGACAGGCTCACGCTGCCTCAGGCCTCCGGCCTCCCTGCCCGCCTCCCTGCAGGGCTCTCCTCCCCGCTTCCCGATTGCCAGTCTTCTTACCTCTTTGTGGAGGCTTTGTGGTGCTTCTCCATAGAGGAGAAGAATTGAACCCTGACTTCATAAAACCAGCATTTCCAGAGCTCTGGGGTGAATTTCTCCCAGAAAGAAATGTGGAGCCAGGCTGATGTGTTACCTACACCTGGGAATAGAGCGAGGGATACAGTGAGGCAAAGGTGGCTGAAGCAGGGATGGACTGAAGAGAGAAGAGATGCCACCAGCCTGGCAGTTCCCAAAGTGGCTCCGCAGCTCTTCAGCCATTTAAGGGAAAGCTGCAATGTGAGCAGCCATGTGTAGGAGAGGCTAACACAGGTACTTCTCCCACATCTTAGACATGGCCCCATGGCCTGGTGAGTTGCTGGGGAGAGCAGTGGAGAAGGGTGGTGCCTAAGCGGTCCTTGAGGAAGGGCATGCACCATCATAGGGGCGATCACTGAGTAGCTGAGAGAGGATACAAATCCCACCAGCAGTTCTACTGACAAAGTAAGGAAGCACAACAAGAGGATAAAGAGCCACCAGTCATGATGTCATAGTAACAAATGGAAGAGGTTATATGAGACGCTGCAGCTGACATTGTACAGGGAGCCCCAGTCCCTAATGTCCCCCATGAGACACTTCTGCTGGCATCCTGTAGTAGAGATTTTGGATGTGAGACGATGCTGGCAAAAGGGTGCGTAACAGTCACCCTTGGCTATCTGAAGGTTCTTGCTGTAATGCTTGCCTTCTGTGTTATGCACACCTTCCAGCAAGGTGTTTAGCACATTGTTAGGACTCTTTTGGCACCCTTAGTTCCTTCTTTTGGAAAGTCCACCATGCCAGATGGGCTTTTAACACTTACTTTATTTTTGAGGTAGGATCAGGCATGTGGCAGTGAAAAACCCAATGTAAAAGATCATTTGTCCTACAGAAAGCATTGGTAACTCAGTGGCATGTTGAATGTGTTGAGGGAGAAGCCTGGACCTCAGTACAGTCACTGGAACCTGAATACAGGCCTCACTGGAACCCAGGCAAATTTAAATGAGGAAATGACAAGTGAGGATGGTTGCACATCTCAACAAATGACTGCAAGGAAGGAAAGATGGATTCCTCACCTCTTGATGCCTTTCTGGAAAACATGCTTTAGCCAAACAGTAGTTTAGGTGAAACTCAAGTTACTATACTCAGTGTGTGGGAAGACACTTAACACCTGAGATTGCTATAAATGAAAGCTGTCAGAGCAGAAAAAGGAATAAAGACTGGTTTTCACTTTCAGAGAAGTGAAATCCGGCAAATCAGAACATGATTAGCAACCGCATCAGTGATGCATGTGCCGGTTTACAATCCTGCCTCCTCTTTCAGAGCTGCGTTTGGTTCCCAGTCCTTGCAGGACTAAGAGTGATTTTGTGCTTCTGGTGCCTGCATTCCCAGAAGAGGCCAGTTTTCTTTCTTTTCCACTGAAATTGATGTATTTGCTCTAGTCCCTTTGGCCAGTGCTGGTCTAGTTCCCCTTCATGTTGCTTCCCCTTGAATGTTCATGCGCTTTGGTCGTCTTGTGCAAAGAGATTGTAAAGAGCTCTGACATCGAAAGCACCACTGTCTTGGTTTGAAAGACAGGTGTCT